TCGAGTCCCGCATCGGGCTCCCTGCTCAGCAGGGAGTCTGCTTCTCCCTCTGACCCTCTTCTCTCTCGTGCTCTCTATCTCTCATTCTCTCTCTCTCTCAAATAAATAAATAAATAAAGGAAATAGAACAGTGTTCAGCAATGTGAAACAGTATCTACTGTAGTCATTTGTAACATTTTCTATTACTTTTGTCTCTACTTGTTCTATTCTAGCCACATCTGCCTTCTGGTTCTTCCTCAAACAGACTGAACACACCACTGCCAACAGCACCTTTGCACATGTTATATTTGCTCCCTGGAATCATCTTCTTATAGACATTTTCATCTTTCTTTGATCTCTGTTCATTTGTTAGCTCTTCTTTCTGGTCACCTTATTTAAAACTGTGTCTTTCATTAAAAAAAGAAAGTAATTCCCCACTATAGTCATATCATGTATCATTACTAGATACATTATATATTTACATTTTTTTACTTTTGTCTATCTTTCCTTCTGAACTATAACACCAAAACGGCAGGTTCTATGATTTGTTCTGTTACTTTCCCCAGCGATGGAATAGTGTCCGCTCCATAGTAAGCATGCAATAAATTCACTGAGAGAATGGGTAACTAACGTTTCTTCCGTGCCTTTATCTTTCCTATTGAGTCCTGTCATGACCCATGACATATCGGGACCTGAGAAAATAGTCGTCCTTAATACCAACCAACATTTATTATTCCAGGCAGAATATTTCTGATGTATTTATTTCTATTTTTAAGTAGTAACATGACTGACTGTAATTTTAGAAAGTAGTTGGGTTAAATCTCTTGAAATATTGTTTCTCCAGAAGGATCTCATAAGATGTAAGTCTGGTTCAGGATATTTGTTCTCTGCTTTGGAAAATAATTAAAACTCCTCATTGCTCTCATAATTAGAGCTCTAAGCCAATTTTCCGGCTAGTTGATCAAAAGCTCACATAGAAAGGTCAACATGTTTAGGCCTCCGCTACTTCAAGCATATTGTAAAACCATTAGCACAAGATATTCTTTCCTTGGCATGACCTCCATATGTCAGACATATTTGCTATTCCAGTTAAATCTCATCATCATTAACCCAGGGTAAGTAGGAGGTCTGGGAGGAAACCCAAGAAGCCAGTTTTCTGCCTGCTGTCGGGGAGACACCTCCATGTTACTTTTTCTAGTTGCGTCCCAGCTCTTGTTAATGTATGGGTCTTTTCAATTCCCCTGATGTATCAACAGAAGCAGGTATCCCAACATGAGTTGTTTATCAACAAATATTGTTTTATTAAAGATTTATTTATCCCTTGCTTGTCATTGCTACCAGATATAATTTCTTCTACAAAAGAAGATATTACATTGCTAAAAGGAAATCTGAACTACAGTAGAAACATGAAATCTATTGTTAATGCATGTAGAAGTTAGATGGACCATGAATCTAAACAGAAGACATGAAGATGGTTGCCTGGGTCATATTGAAGTCTTTTGTATCTTTAGTCTTTCTTCCTGAATTCATTTCATGAAAACATCTGTTTTCCTGAAACAACCATAGATTGAGAATGTAAAACTGTGTTTTCCTTACGATAGTGGGGCCTGAAACTGAAACTCTGCTTTCTCTTAAAAAATTTTTTTTTTATTTATTTTATTTGAGAGAGAGAGAGTGTGTGTGTTGGGTGGGGGGAGGAGAAGGAAGAGGGAGAGAATCTCCAAGCAGACTCCCCACTGAACGGAGTCCAACGCAGAGGCTCAATCCCACAATTCATGAGATCATAACCTAAGCCGAAACCAAGAGTAAGATGCTTAACCAATTGAGCCACCCAGGTGCCCCCGCTCTGCTTTCTCTTAAACAGGAACATTTGAACAATTGGAACATTTGAACAATTTATAAAGAAACGTATTGAATGTTGAAAGATTTCACCAACACCATCAGTCATTTAGCTGTAAATCTATATGCATCCATCTCAATACTGAAGCTTTGAAAATTAACAAGAGGTCCTTAAAGGGTACCCTTTGACGAAATGTACCACCCTATGTCACACAATTATTAACTTCTAATGTATATAGTGTCCCAAACATTCAGATAGTAGGCTTCTGCCAACAAGAGCAACAGAATGTAGGTAACAAGTTCTCTGTATTGCCTAGAGTTCTGATCATTCTATTCAGTTCAGCAAATATGCCTTGAGCATCTACTATGCTTCAGGCAGTGTTTGAGACACTTATAATACATCGGTGGACAAGATGATTGATCCTTTGTGGAGCTTATGTTCATTCCTTCACTCTCCTGTATGGCTTAAATCAACACTGTCTGCATATATAAAGGTATGGAATTCTTCCTGAGGAAAGCCATTTAAAATAGTATATGGTACCAGAGAAGAGGTGGGTGGGTGAAGGGTGTTAAGAGTACACTTCTCTTAATGAGCGTTGAGTAATAGAATTATTGAATCACTGTATTGTACACCTGAAACCAATATAACACTGTATGTTAAGTATGCTGGAATTAAAATAAAAAATAAAGTAAAAAAATAGTGAAACAGTATATGGTTGGTCACTGGCATAACAATGTCTAAGAAACACTGTAGAAATTCCAATTACTGTGCATCAAATAAATTAAAAAATAATATTATGTTTAATTATTCAGGATGAGACACGGACTATGGGCTACTTTTTAAGGGTATTCCAATGTTTCTGAAAGTGTAAAATGGATTAAAAAATTAAAAAGCACAAAACACAATCAGTAAAAACTCATAATAATAATCACTAATATTTACTGATTAGTTGCTCAGGGCTAAGCTCCTTGCTACGTACCGTCTCTACTATAATCCTTTCAGAAAATCATCATATTGTCTTAGAAAAGCACATGAAGAATACAACTAATAGTAGTAGCTGCCATCTGTGCATTAGACCTGCACAGTCAAAAATGGTGGCCACTTCACATATATAGCTAAGGAACACTCAAAATGTAGCTAGTCCATGAGCGGGGGAGGGAGGGTGTAACTGGGTGATGGGCATTAAGGAGGGCACAGGACGTAATGAGCACTGGATGTTATATATGGCTGATGAATCACTGAACTCTACCTCTGAAACTAATAATACACTATATGTTAATTAATTGAATTTAAATAAAATTAAATTAAATTAAAAAAAGAAATGTAGCTAGTCCCCATTAAGATGTTCTGTAAGTGTAAAGTATATACCAGATTACAAAAACTTAGTATGAAAAACAACAATGCAATAATTTTTATACTGATTGTACATCAAGTTAATAATATTAAGAATACATTAGGTTAAATAAAATATATTATTAAAATCAATTTTGCCTCTTTCTTTTTACCTTTTTAATGTGACTCTATGGAATTTAAAATTACTTATATGGCTTGTTGGGGCACCTGGGTGGCTCAGTTGGTTAAGTGACTGACTTGATTTCGGTTTAGGTCATGATCTCAGGGTCATGAGATGGAGCCCCGCGGTGGGCTCCCCGCTCAGCAGGTAGTCTGCTTGAGCTTCTCTCTCTCAAATAAAGAAATAAAATCTTTTTAAAAGATTACTTATACAGCTTGCTCTGTGGGTCATGTTACGTTTCTATTGGACAATGCTGAAATAAAGAACCTAAAGTTGAAATGAATTTTTCCAAGGTCCTACAGGATAGGTGCAGCAATCTAACCTAATAATTGCTATTTTTAACACTGCTCCAAAGAAAAATAGATAATAATTTTAAAATAGTTTGTTTTACAAATTTTTCATCACTAAAGACATTGGATTTAACACTTTTTTTGAGTTTGGTAGAATCTCACTTAAGATAGTAGATTTAGAGGAAAAATAGATTTTGGTAAAATTATTTTGGTAAGTAGTTCTCTTCCATTTTTAAACTTCTTCCTAGCAAGGGAAATTCAATCCATATGTCTCTGCTCCTTGTATTCTCACTTATCAAAATGTTATTTTATAAAAGTTATTTGATGTCTTAGAAGCTAGATTTCCTTAAATGATTTTCCTTGAACTGGGAAGCCCTTATTGCATGGAGTATAAACAAAAAAGAACTTGAACCTGATGGCCTCAATCACATTTGATTTCAAGTTTAGGACCCAGAAAGATAATGTGAATTCTAGAATTTAGAATAGTCTAAAGACCCTGAAGTAAAAGTCAATCATTAGTGGAGTCTCTTGGATTGAACTAAATGCACACTCAAAAAGAGAAAAACAAAAACAAAAACCAGCTGTGTAGCCTTAACAATACTGTTTAAGAAAGGCTGAGTTTACAAAGGAGATAAATTAGGAGCTAATTGTTTGCTTAGCAAAGGATAACTTTACAAAGGGTTTCACTGCAGAATCCCTTTAAATTGGCAACTCCCCTGGTGAAATTATATTTTGGTCAAATCTCTTGGAGATAATGGGAAATACTGGGAAACCCTGCCTAAGAGAGAGCAACCAGAAAGATATATTAAACTGCATCTAAAAATATAATGTAACTAAATGGACAAGTATATCTTAAGTTGAAAGAAATTTAATTTATATCAAAACTTTCAAAATTATATCTATTACCCAAAAAGAGATACCTATGCATGTCAAAGTATCTTACTAGGCATGTTGTTGCTTATCTTCCTGAAAAACAACAGTCAGCTCAGTTAATATATTTTTAAAAATTGGCAAACCAGTTATTTGCTCTTTAAAAACCAGCAAAACTGGTTTAATGATGTCTTTCAACTTTATTTTCCAGACTTTTAATTCAGAAAAGTAAGTCATGGGGAAGATACAGAAACTGAATTGAAACTATTATAAATATATGAAGAATGTAATACATGAAAAAACTTCTGAGTATGGTATGATTGTGAATGTGCCTTCAGTTTGTACTGCCTCAAAGCAGAAGTAACTGACCATGGCTACTTTTCATTCTTTAGGAATGTTTATCCATCTTACTTACAGTATTGGCGATTGTATCCATTCTCTGAGAAAGTTCTGGAAAAATAATATGTAAGGTGTACGTACACCATAGAACAATCATTAATAAATAAGCCAAAACAAGTTTAACTAGTAAAACAATTACACTTTAAAATGATGTATAGTGTGGTGAATTCTGTCTGTTTTATTTTGTTAGGTAATGGGCTCTCAAAGTAATCTCTCAGAAGAAATAGAAGAGCAAACACAAGGGAAGATAAAAGAACTGAGTGGAAGTTACAACAAGTACGTGGAAAGTGTGTTGAAACAACTTTTGAACATTGTTTGTGATGTGAAGCCAGAAATCCATGTAAACTACAGAGCCACCAACTAAATGTGCACCCTACTGTTCAATAAATGGTATATGCATGCCACCTGGTTGCTTATGGTTTCAAGTTTATATTAAGAAACTTGAAATGTAAATCCTAAATTTACTAGACATCTACAGATTTCAATGTGACATAATTCACACAAGAACACTGAATTTGAAAGCAAACAAACAAAAAGTTGTTATATCTTTCTTGGTAACCGGCATGACTTGTCATTTAACGTGAAGTAAATCAAACATGCGGAGTAACATTTTTTGACACTTGGCAGAAAAATATGAACCTGGCCACTTTTTAGTGAATGTGTGGTTTAAAAAAATGCTTCTTTTTTAGCAATTTAGAAAATTTTTTCTTTGTTGTAGTTGTTAAAAGATCATTTTTAAAGGAAGATTTATATCTCAAACAGGTATAAAATGAATAGATGTCAAAGATTTTATTTGTCATTAATCAATGAGGAAACCAATAAGATGTTACCACCAGTTCAAAGAAGAATAGTAAGAATGTCATACATAGAGAAATGAGAGATATTCGATGACAGAAAGAAAGATAGATAGATAAATGATAAGGACGATAGAGAAAGAAAAATGGGTTGGTTATATAACCATCCTTTCTGCCTAACTTCAACTAACCAGATATTCTTCTCTTTCAACTATTATTCTTTAAAAGAAAAAAATAAATGATAATTAAATGAGGTGCTCGCATAGATGTTTAGGTTTAAAAACAAATAAAAAATTGTCCCAAGAGATGTTATGTGCTATATGTTATGAATTGAATGTTTGTATCCCCCCAAAGTTTATATGTTGAAATCTAATCCCTAGGGTCATGGTATTTGGAGGTGGGCCTTTTGGTGGGTAATTAAGTCATGAGGGTGGAGCCCTCATGATTGGAATTAGTGCCCCTATAAGAAGAGGCCAGAGAGCTAGTTCACTCACTCTCTATCATGTGAGGATAGAAGTTGGCAGTCTGCAACCTGGAAGAGGGTTCTCACCAGAACCTGACCATTCTGGCACCCTGATCTCAGACTTCCAGCCTGTAGAACTAAGAAAAAATAAATTTTCTGTTATTTATAAGCCATCCAGTTTGTGTGGCACTTGGTTATATCAGCCCGCCAAAGTGATACAGACAGCATGCTGTTAGCCCAGCCATCTAAACAGCAATAGCTAAATTCTTGGTAAGTACCAGGCACTTTGGGTAACATGTATGATTATCCTGATCCCATTGTGATGGGTAGTGACAGCAACCTTGTTTTACAAAATGGGAAATAAAAATTAAGGAACTTGCTTGGAGTTGCTTGTGTAACAGTGACAGGGGACTTCCTGTCTGGCCAATGACACCAATGTCCCCACCCTTCATTACTTACCATACTATCTCCCTGAAAAGTTTCTATATTTATATCATTAAGAATCCCAAGTACTCTGATTTTACAATAGTATATGCAGACAAATTTTAATTCCAGGCTAAACAAAATTTAATTGGTGAATTTTAATTGTTACCAAACTATTCATACATTCAATTCCAAATATAAACTGAAATTATTCTAATTGGTCATTGTTTTAGATTACCCTAAGTTAGATTTAGGTTTCCCTCTCCAGACAATATTAAAACTTTACCACATAGTTTTAAATCTGAGAAATATTCAATTTTATATTGACATTTGGCAAATCAAAGAAAAATTTAATTTCATTTGTTTTTCCCAACTTTTTGAGCAAGGAAAACCAAACAGGTTAGTTTTTTTAATTTCTTGTGATGGATTTTTCTATTTGCCAGGAAGACAACTGATTCCCCAATTAATGACCAGAAGGGTATCAACCTTCCTTTTTATTATTATTATTATGTTATGTTAATCACCATACATTACATCATTAGTTTTTGATGTAGTGTTCCATGATTCATTGTTTGCATATAACACCCAGTGCTCCATTCAATATGTGCCCTCTTTAATACCCATCACCAGGCTAACCCATCCCCCCACCCCCCTCCCCTCTAGAACCCTCAGTTTGTTTTTCAGAGTCCATGATCTCTCATGGTTCGTCTCCCCCTCCAATTTCCCCCCCTTCATTCTTCCCCTCCTTCTATCTTCTTCTTCTTCTTTTTCTTTTTAACATATTTTGTATTATTTGTTTCAGAGGTACAGATCTGTGATTCAACAGTCTTGCACAATTCACAGCACTCACCATAGCACATACCCTCCCCAATGTCTATCACCCAGCCACCCCATCCCTCCCAACCCCCACCACTCCAGCAACCCTCAGTTTGTTTCCTGAGATTAAGAATTCCTCACATCAGTGAGGTCATGTGGCCAACAGACGCATGAAAAATGCTCAACATCACTCTGCATCAGGGAAATCCAAATCAAAACCTCAATGAGATATCACCTCCCACCAGTCAGAATGGCTAAGATTAACAAGTCAGGAAACAACAGATGTTGCCAGGGATGTGGAGAAAGGGGAACCCTCCTACACTGTTGGTGGGAATGCAAGCTGGTGCAGCCACTCTGGAAAACAGTATGGAGGTTCCTCAAAAAGTTGAAAATAGAGCTACCATACGATCCAGCAATTGCACTACTGGGTATTTACCCCAAAGATACAAATGTAGGGATCTGAAGGGGTACGTGCACCCCAATGTTTATAGCAGTAATGTCCACAATAGCCAAACTGTGGAAAGAACCAAGATGTGCATCGACAGATGAATGGATAAAGAAGATGTGGTATATATACATACAATGTAATATTATGCAGCCATCAACCTTTCTTAAGAACAATGTCCTTTAATTTTTCCTGGGGGGCGGGGGGGAGGTAAGGCATCAAGTAAAATTGCCTCCCTAAAATGAGGACAAAAATATTGATTTGAAGGGTACATGCACCCTGATGTTTATAGCAGCATTATTAACAATAGCCATATTATGGAATGAGCCCAAATGTCCATCTACTGATGAATGGTTAAGAAGAGGTGATATATACCCATACAGTGGAATATTGCTCAGTCATCAAAAAGAATTAAATCTTGCCATTTACAACGACATGGACAGAGCTAGAGTGTATTATGCTAAGTGAAATAAGTCAATAAGAGAAAGACAAATGCCATATGATTTCACTCACATGTGGAATTTAAGAAACAAAACAGATGAACATAGAGGAAGGGAAAAAAGAGAGAGAGAGGGATGCAAACCATAAGAGATTCTTCACTATAGAGAACAAACTGAGGGTTGATGGAGGGGAGATGGGTGAGGGACATGCTAAATGCGTGATGGGTATTAAGGAGCCACTTGTGTTGAGCACTGGACATTATATGTAAGTGATGAATCACTAAAATCTACTCCTGAAACCAGTATCACACTATATGTTAACTAACTAGAATTTAAATAAAAATTTGAAAAAGAAAAATATAAAGGGGAAATCAAGACAGCCTAAAATGAAGGAAAACTAAAAGAATTTGTTTCCAACCAACTTACACTAAAAGAATGACTATCTTGGTTATTTGGAATTTAACAAAGAAATAACTCATTAAATTAAGTTTGTGGCAATATCGGGGAAAAATAAATGTTTTCTGGTGCACACAGTGAAAAAAATAATGAAATAATGAAATAAAGTAAAATAAAGCAATAAAATAAAATAAAGACAGCCAAGAAGGATATCCACTTCAACACAGATTTGGAGAATTTGATTACTCCTACAGAGGTGAGATATGTAAAACAATGAGCAAACTGCACATTTGAAAAATTATCATGTGAAAAGATAATTCTAAAAAGCACAGCCTTGTGATTTGCCTTAGATACCTTATCTTGTAAAAAATGTCTTGAATATCTTATCTCATGAAAACCATCAAGATGTCAATTTCTGGATACGAAAAGCTTGAATATATATCTGGAACACATTCCTGAGCCTACACAGGAGATAAGACGATTTTTTAGGCTTAAATGCAATAGAAATACACTAAAATCAGTATGGAATTTTTCTCAGCTTAAAGTGGCTACCAAGGCCAGAAGACAGTGATGAAGACTGGGGGTCAATATCCTGTGTGTCTGGTCCCGGCTGTGCCCCACACTCTCTATGTCCCATTGACAACTTCTTCAATCTCTCTGAGCCTCAGATTCCCTTTAATGTTTTAATAAACAAGATGGCATTCAAGTAAGTGATCTCTATGGGCCCTTTAATATTCAATTCTACATACTACATCAGACCATTTATAAAAATCAGTACTCACGGCTTGTATTTTTTTCATGCACTTCTGTAGTATTTGTTAATTTTTCTTAATGACCCCACATCTGTTCTAAACTCTTGAAGAATGTCAGAACATCTCCCCAAAGTGTGCCGCTTCGGCATGTGGACTATTTTAAGCTGAGGGCAATCAAGATCCAGCAGACTCAAGAAAAACTTTCACCTCTCCCTTAAGCGACCTAAAAGAATTTGGGTAGGGGACCTAGCCCAGAAAGGGCGTTTTACTAAGAGATAACTTCTGTATCTGAATAGCCTATCTGTACGGCAGGACAAACACCTAATTACCAAACATCTGTTCTTTTTATTACCCTGTGACTCACTGTCCTTCCTTCTGCCGCCCCAGGTCCTTATCTCATTCCTTAGTTCAAGATGGCATTTAAGGGGCACCAGGGTGGCTCAGTTAGGTAAGTGTCCACCTCTTTTTTTTTTTTTTAATTTATTTATTTATTTGAGAGAGCGAGAATGAGAGAGAGAGAGAGAGAGAGTACATGAGAAGGGGGAGGGTCAGAGGGAGAAACAGACTCCCCGCCGAGCAGGGAGCCCGATGTGGGACTCGATCCCGGGACTCCAGGATCATGACCTGAGCCGAAGGCAGTCGCTTAACCAACTGAGCCACCCAGGCGCCCCAAGTGTCCACCTCTTGATCTCACCTCAGGTCTTCTTCATCTTAGGGTCATGAACAGTTCAAGCCCTGCGCTGGGCTCCACAAAGTGTGGAGCCCACTTAAAAAAAAAAAAAAAAGGCCTTTAAGCTTCAGTTGTCCTGCTGTCGCTGGGTCTCATATTCTTACA